GTCAGCTGCAGGATGTGGCAGTTGGCAGGACAGATCCGGTCCTGGCACTGCATGGAGCTGGCCGCCCCTGCGCAGGGTGGCCACTGCTCCCAGGGGCACCAGGGGTGGGGCCAGGCCAGGAGCAGGAGCCACAGGACCCTTCCAGGAACGAGTCGTGAGATGAAGCCCACGGCTGAATGCTCCCCTGGCCTTGTCACTGTCACACCGCTCCAAAGCCAAATGCCCTGAGCTCAGGTCACCTGCCATGGACCCAAAAACCAGTTCATCTGCTTTGCCCTCCAAGTCCAAGTAACAAAGAGCAGGAAGAGGCGCTCGCTGTCTCATCCCACAGCCAGACGCGCACAGATGAGGGTCGTTTTCCTCTGTGAAACTGCCCGACACACCTGGGACAGGCCTCAGCGGCCCCGCCCGGGGCTGTCCGTCCCCCACGGACCACCGTCTTCGGGGAGCACAGCATGAAGAGAAAGACCCTATCAGTGCTGCAGGCAGCTGAGTCGGCACCCGGGTCGGGGCAGCGCAGTTTGGGAATCTGGCCCCCTCCAGTCCCATCACTCCCGTGAGCCCCTGGAAGTGGACACGACTTGTCCTCCCGGTGGCATGGGCTCAGGCAGGGGTTGGTGCAGAGAGAACCCTGTTTGTGCACACACAGCCCACCGTCGGGGCTCACGTGGGAGAGGCCGCGGCCTCAGAAGCCCCCCGAGAGGAGCGAGAGCAGGTGGCGGCTGACCTCAGAGGGAAGGAACTGGGGTGCAGGTACAGGCTCCTGGAGCCACTGGCCACAGAGGAAAGGACGTAGGTGGCATGACAGCCAACCAAAGGAGGTGGGGAAGCTGTGCTCCTCCAACCGTCCAACTGTCACGCCAAGTACCGCCACTCCCTGGAAAATCCCAAAGCCGGGCCTCCGGGACAGACCATCTGCCTTGGTGCCCCTTGACTGCAAACACAAGCATCCCATGCCCCCAAAGAGCCCAGGCCATCAGGCCAGGGAGGGGCTGGGGCCAAGGAAAGACCAAACCCAAAAGGTAAGAAGGGTACAAATGCAGGCAGGAGACCAATGAATCCGGCGGGGTTGGCTGCATCCACACTGCACCCAGGACACTGGCTCCTAAAGGCTCACACTGTCTTTGCCAAGGTACCAGCAGACACACCACAAAGCAAAACCGAAATGGGGAGACCACACAGACAACACCACAAACACAGCCAACACTGCTCGAACAGAGAACAGGTGGGAGTGGCCCGCAACATCTGTCAAGTGGCCTGGTCCCCTCACTTCCAGAACACTAGGGAGTGGTGACATCCCATCAGACCACTGACCCAGGTCCTTCGGCGTGGGTTCTCCAGCCCATGATAAACCAAGCATGCAAGCTGGCACCCACAGATGAGCCTTCTCCAACGGCCAATCCAGAAAGGCCGTGGAAATAATACTGCCACATCTCTATTAGAGTCCACGCAGGTCATTTTTTATGTGCACCAACTCTAAACACCTGTATACAGTCAGAGTCCAAGACTCAGCAGAGAAGGACAGGCTGCGCTGGCCAGACGGTGGATATGGGTTCTTCCTGTTCCTTTCCTTGTACTGTCTGTCTGGTGGAAGGTACTTGAGCAGAGATGGGGCTCTGTCCCCCTGTGGCCTGATTTCTCTCATCCTTAGAGGATGAATATGTAGGTTCCCAAGACAGAAAAGGATGCACTCCGAGCAGATCTCACCAGATGGCTCCCAACAGCCGACTTATTACAGATTTTAGACCAGGTGTCCCAGGGATAAACAGCACTAAGAACACCAGTGCAGTCAAAAAGAGGGAGAGAGACCCTCAGCGTTTGGGGAAGAAGGGTACAAACGTGTATTTTCTTTCTTGTGCGCTGGCCTCATCGACTACATGGGCATAATACAAACAATGACACCAACCCCCTCACTACAAACCCTTCCCATTCAAGGGCTCTCCTCCCCCACACCTTAATATTATATGAAAATCAGCAGCTAGTCCTACCAGAATAGAATCCGGCCTGTGGATAAATCCAGGTACCAGGAAGGGACAGCCTAAAATTCTATAGGAGATTTGTGTTACCAGGTCACCTGGTCCGACCTGGTGCCCAGAAGAGCCTGTGGGACACAGACCCAGCCAAGTCACAAAGACAAGACTGAAAACAGAGTTAAATGCTGAATCTTACATCTGCCCCAAATCAACTTTCCACTTGATGAAGCAAGCACACGGACAAGAAGTCAGAAAAACAAAACCACAATGTTTTTACAGTCTAGCTAAATGTGAAAAAATCCAAAGGACGGCCATTGATAATGATCTAAAATGGGAACAGGCATCTACTGTATGTCAGGCACTCTGTGCTCTCCAGAACCCTTGAAAGCCTTTGAAGTAGGTGGTATTATTACCATGGTACCAATGGGAAACTGAGACACGAGAATTACTCGAGGGCCAGATGGCAGAATTATTGGAGGCTATGTTCTTAACCATTGCACTTGGCTACCCAAAACTGGGGGCAGAGGGACCAACGCAATTGTAGGCAGGTTGCAAACTCCACGCCTATCTTCTCCAATGCCTTCACACCGAACCCTGGAAGGCTCTTCTCGGACTAAAGTGAACTGGGACTAGCAGCTGGCAATGACATGACGTGTGCCTTGCTTCCCTGCTCTTTATGAATCACTTGGCAAAGTGCGCCTGTGGACCGGGAGGCCAGCTGCAGGAGGGGGGGGCTCTGGGTTTTCTGGAGCCGGAACATCCTGCACTGAGGTACGGGGGTCACTCCACAAACATGGAGAAGTTACTTCTCCAAGGCTCGGTGTTCCTACATAAGATGGTGACAAACCACAGCCTGGCTCATGGGTTTATTTTGTGGGTTCAGTGAATTCATGTATAATAATCAGGAGCCACCCACACGACCACAATAATTGCTAGCAGATTAAACAATTCCACTAAAAAGAACTTTCTTTAGCTGTATTCCGAGACTCTGCTCACCATGAACATGGAACATGCAAAAAAAAAAAAAAAAAAAGATGGGCTACAGAAAATGCGACAACAGCACTCAGGACAACACSGGCCCTCCGTGCAGATGGCCACGGGAGAACGCCGAAGTTAACACTCGGTGTGCGGCGCCCCTTGACAAGGCTTTATCTGCAAAAGCTTTCATGGTTCCTGAAAGTGTTTAATATTCACCATCAATTTTAATGTTAATGTTTCTAATGAGGAATTTCTAAAACTAACACAGATTTTTTTTTAAGTTCTTTAATCAGTTGGTGGCAGATTTGGAATGGAATTCCCCAGTCTCCAGGTCTCTGAAGCACACTCTGACAACCAGTGCCTTTCCTTCCAGATGAAGAGGCATGAAGTCCTTTCAGGATGCAAAGCAGGAAGATCCTTAGGATCCAGTAACAGCTGGCCAGTCAGCCCAGCCTGGCCAAGGGCCTCAACCCAGGCAGTAAAACAAACTCTACCAGGAATGAGGGACTAACTTCCACTGTGTCCTTCCTACTCCTATTTCTGAACCAATCTGAACCAGACTGTGGCCAACATATGACACCAACTTCCGAGTGTGGGAATAACAGGATTTCAAGATTCACCACCTTCTGGCAAGGTTCCTTAGGTTATTTTTAACAATCCTAAATTTTTTTTTCATATCTCTCTCTCTCTCTCTCTCTCTCTCTCTCTCTCTCTCTCTCTTTCTTTCTTTCTTTCTTTTTTTTTTTTTTTTTTTTTTGTTTAAGGAAAGAATAGGCAGAAGAGCCCAGATCAAAAAGAAGTGAGTACCCTGACATGTGGATCTTGAACAGCCCAGTCCACCCGACCTACAGGCCCGAAACGCTAAGACAGCGCGGGCCTGGAGTGGAGGGCACCTCGGGCCGGTGTCGCCGGCGCCGGCACCCCACGAGTTCCCCTCGGCMCGCTCTGCCAGACAAAGAGCGCAAGTTCCCGGGCCCACGACTCCAGACCGCCGGGACCGAGTCGCCCGGAATTAGGCCCGCGGCCAGCCCAGGGAGCCCACTCGCCTTGGAGGGAGGCCCCGGGGTGCCTCTGGCGCGATCCCGGGTCCAGYCGCCAGGACCCCGCTCCCGATGGCGCTCCGCGTGCCTCCGGCTGCGGCCGGCCCCCGGCCCCTCCCGGCTGCAGGCCCGCACCCCCCGCGCGCCCCACCCCAGCTCCGCCGAGCGGCGCCGCCGCGTCCCGAGCGGGCCCAGCTGCCCCCGCCCTCGCGGCTCGGGCCTGGCCGCGGTACTCACCCGGGTCGCGCCGCGGGGGCCGGATCCGCGCCGGCTCCGGGAGCCGCCACCGCCGCCTTCGCTGCCGCCGCCAGTGAGGCGCGGTAGGGCGGGGACGCGTGGCGAGGCCCGGCCCCCGGCCCGCCCCGGCCCGCCCAGGCCCTCCCGGACCGCCCCCGGGTCTCCGCCCCCAGTCCCCCGCCCTCCTGCCGCCCCCAGCCTCGGGATCTGGCCCTCGCCGCCGGCTCTCGTCCCGGGGACGCTGCCCTTGGAGGGAGCGCCGCGCCTCGCGGAGAGGCGAGGTCCCTCGGACGCTCCCCGAGTGCGCTCGCCCCCCCCAGCTCCTTCTGCCTTTCGGGGGTAGGAGGCAGGACACCCTCCGGGAAGCGCTGGGCATCCTGGCTTCGCCCAGGGCTCCTCTCAGGATCTGGGAAGAGGGCGCCCGAGCCCCCARCGCGGGAGATGGAAAGGCGGAGTCCCCAACCCCTGGCGCCCCGACCCAGCCTGCCACCCTCGGGGCCCCTAGCCGTTAGGTCCCCGCACATCAGAGAGGCCCAGCTGGACGCACGGTACCCTAAGGAAACTGAGCCCGGGCGGCGCAAAGCTCGGACACAGCGGTGGAAGACCAGATTTATGCTTTAATGCACACTTTGGGTGTGCTCCACGTGCCCACGGATAGCTCAGGGGCCGCGCCGCCCTGCGCGGGGCTCGGCCCCGAGCCCCCGCGCGGTCCCTGCCCCTCCGCGCGGTCCCTGCCCCGCCGGATGTTGACGGCGTCGCCTAGCAACACGAGATGGCGGAGCCGGGCGRCGAGGCTGAAGGGTAAGCAGGACCAAGGGGGCAGCCGGCCAGGGAGCAGCCCGCCGCGCTCGTCCGCAGTCCACGCCGGGGTGGCCTCGCGTCGCCCCCTTGGCTCTCCTGCTCCTTTCCTCCCACTCTGTCCCTTCTCCCCACTCCCGGGGCTTTACCGACCCTCCGCGTCGGCCGCCCGCCCCTGCCCCGCTCCCCTCTCACCTCCAGTCCTTTGTCCTCCCCTACCCTCCCTCTTCCCCTACTCCCAGCGCTTTCCTCGCCTGAAGACCCCGGACTCGGCGCGCCCTGCAGTAACCATGGCAACCACTGCGCTGCTTGGCTTTCGGGGCTGCGGAGTAGGGATCCCGTCCTGGGATGCTGGGGACACTTCTTGTGACAGGAACCTTAGCAGTCCCTCGCCTCTCTCCTGCAAGGACGGATTCCCAGTCACAGGCTGAGGGGAGACAGGCGGTCCCCAGATGTCACCTCTGCCTGGGGCCCAGCGCTTGCCCTGAGCGCACCTAGAGGGGCGGTTAGGTAAAGACGCACGCTGCCAACGGTGCACTCTGCTATGCTTTATGTAAAAGGACAAACCCGGTTTTAAAGAATCTGGACTTTTTGCGTAGACACCTCCGTATTGCTTCTTGTTTTGAAAAAGGGTAGGTCTCTATGAACTGATGGAACAATGTCCAGGTTGAGCCGAAGGAGAAGACTAAAAGTAAAACAATACATGCAGCATACTCTAAGGGGTGGGGCAGGGGTTTCGGGCTAAATGCATAGGAAAAAATCTGAAGGAATACAATTGTGTCCTAAATCGCCTCCTATTACCAGTGGTTATCTTGGGAAGGACAGGAAATCACAGCGGTTGTCATTGTTTGTCCACAAGTATCTATATTGATTTGCTTTAAAAAAAATTGGGTTTTAATTTTTAAAAAACATGATAGTTTAAATGTAAATCATAATGCTCTTGTTCTGTGTAAACCATTGGGAAGCTGACAAAGAGTCTTTGGGGCTTCTGACCTTTTTGGTGCGATTTTTTGTGCTTTGTATTTACTGTCCCCAGTTTTGTCCCAGACACAGTATCGTCAAGGTGACCTTTCTGCAGTGCTCTGTCTCATGCTCCCTGGATGTTTAGGTCATTGTGGTTTCCACTCATTCTCAGAGCTCTTGGCACCTGGGACACCTAGCAAGTGTGATCTAATGATGGGCAAAGTCCTGGCTGAGAGCCCAGGCAATCAGCTGACCTACAGAATTGAGGAGGGGATACATGCCAACTGTGGGACTGTTTCCCTAAAACCAGGTCTCACCTGGAAGGCGGATCGGCCTCTGGAGGAGAGGAGACCCAGGAAACCGAAGGCCAAGCGGTAAAGTTCCCTCTGGGAAGAGTTGTTCTGGGCTTGTGTTTACCAGGAGGTAAGGGGGGAGCTTGCTGGCCTCAGTGGGGTAAGGGTCCTTTCACCTGGCACGGGGACACACTCAGTTCCGTGACAGGAAAACTGGTTTTCCTTCCGCTTCATTTTAAATCCCAGCTCTGGGATTGCCCTGAGTTTCCAAGACTCATTTCCTGTAATGAAGTCGAGAGCATGGAGGCAAAAGGGAGAGGGTCGACCCAGCTTGAGACCCTCTTAGTGATGGGAGGCATGTGAAGGCATTTCCCGACTGAGCACAGCCCCTCCCAAGACCCTTTATCCTTTGATCCTTGCTTTTTCCCTGCCATCCCGTTATAGGAATCACCACCGCTAGAGAACAATGACCAGATAAGCCAAGAGGCGGCGGGTGCCTCGGAAGAGCAAATCACCACTGAAGGCGGAGGTGAAGTGGGAGGGGAAGGCTCAGATGAGGAGGACATCGCTGAGGATGAGGAAGAGTCCCCGGAACGACAAGTTGCCATTGAAGATAACGCCGAGGAGGAAGACGTGTCCATTGCGGAAATCGTACCCTTTTCTAATGTGGAAGTCACAATGGTTGAAAGACGAATCAGCTCTGCACAGTCCATTCATTCAGATGCCAACCTTCAGGAAGAGCCAGAAGATGAAAGTGGCCCTGTACATCTGCAGGAAGGCGTTGAAGATGCCTATCAAGAAGCCGTGGAGCCATCCGAATCAAAAGGGGCCATCTCCAGAGAGCCCAGTCTGCAGCCAGTCGAAGGCCCCTCTGAGCCAACGGGCCCAGGTGCTTCTGAACCCACAGAGGACAGCTTGGTGAGTAGCCCTGGGTTCTATTTTGTGAAAATGTCTTACTGCCCATGTGGCTCATCACCCTAGGTAAACAGCTTAAAGACACACTACAACCCAAACTGCAACCCCTGTTAGGATTCTGAAGCAAATTAAGCCTCGGAATCTACTAGCCTATTCCAAGAGATCCTGGACTTCAGTGCTCCCACACCCACGGTGGTTGACCTTCATAGCCACCCTCCACATCGGGACATCCAGAGCCACATGAGCCAGGATGGTGGCCAGGAGTCACAGGGCTCATGTGCTCATTTCAAGAGCATTGGAGATCTGGCTGGCGAGAAAGAGAAACTCAATTTTTTATTTTAATAAGTTCCAGTTAATTTACGTTTAAATGGCCACCTACTGCTAGGGGCTAACATATTGGACAGTGCAGTTCTAGGTAAAAAAATAATGAGAATAGTTACATCCTATTTTTTTTTTAGACAATTACCAACTTACAGGAAAAAATAATGTTACAATATAAGGCACATTTTATTTCCTCAGGCATTCAAAAGTAAGTTGCTGACCTGCACACGATCATCTCTGAATGATTTTATGTGTTTCCCACAAATAACCATTGAAATCTGAAAATTGAGGGCTGGGGATGTGGCTCAAGCGGTAGCGCGCTCGCCTGGCATGCGTGCGGTCCGGGTTCGATCCTCAGCACCACATACCAACAAAGATGTTGTGTCTGCCGAAAACTAAAAAATAAAAATATAAAAAAAAAAAAAAAAAAAAAAAAAGAAATCTGAAAATTGAGAGAAGGGGTGTAGCTCAACAGTAGTGCTGGCCTAATATGCTCAAGGCCCTGAGTTCCTTCCCCAGCAGTAAAAACAATGATAATAATAATCTGGAAATTGTGTGGCTACATGATCAAATAAGTTTCAGCCTCATTCCCATTTCACCTGACGCCCCAGTAACGACTTTTCTAGCAGGGAGGTCCTGTTCGGAATCACTCGTGGCCTTGACTCTCACATCCCTTTAGTCTTCTCTCTCTGTCCATTGATGACCTTGACCTTGTGAAGACCAAGGACAGTTTCCTTGTACAATATCCCCACTGGGATTTGCCTGGGTTTTCCCATGAGGAGGTTGGGGTGACCATCTCTGGCAGGGTCACCACAGAGTTGGTGCCCTGCTCTCCACTGCAACAACCAGGCAAGGCCTGGTCCAACACCCTAACTGACCATGTTCATTTTAACCACTTGAATGAAAAGTGCCAGGCATGGGGCTGGGGATGTGGCTCAAGCGGTAGCGCGCTCGCCTGGCATGCGTGCGGCCCGGGTTCGATCCTCAGCACCACATACCAACAAAGATGTTGTGTCTGCCGAAAACTAAGAAATAAATATTAAAAAAAAAAAAAGAAAAGTGCCAGGCTTCCCCACTGTGGAGTCAGTCTTTAATCTTTGCATTTATTAAAGTACCTCATGAGAAGGTACTTTTTATTACAATATGAAAATGAATGTGTATTTAGAATGAGAAAAAAATCACAACAGATTACTACCATTTATTTAGGACTTATTTCTCTTGGGTATTGTATACAGGTGTTGCACACCTTTTGCCAGAGTTGTCCCTAAATGTTTCTTATTTTTTTAACTCTATTGTAAAGGGATTACAATGATTTGTTGCTGGTTTACAGAAATACAATTGATTTTTCTTTATTATCCTTACATTCTGCAAGGTTGCTCAACTCCCTTGTTAGGAGAATCCATAAGTTCTTTTTTCTTTTTTTCCCCCAGAGATGATCCCATCTTCTGAGAATAAAGGCAGTTACTGTCTTCCTTTTCAATGTGGACACCTTTTATTTCCTTTTCTTGCCTGATTGCATTGGCTAGACCTGCCAGCACAATGCTGATTATCTGGGGTGAGAGGGGACATCCTTGTCTTGTTCCTGATTGCCTGTGGAAATCTTTCAGTTTTTCACTGGGTTTTTTGTAGATGCTTTTTATCAGGTTGTTGCTATAGTTTGGATGTGGGGTGTCTCCAAAATGCTTCTGTGAACGCAGAGACATTCAGAGGTGCAATGATTAGACTGTAAGAGCTGTAACCTAATCAGTTTATCCTAATTTGAATGGACTGACTAGGTGGTCCTGTTGGCAGGTGCGGTGTAGCTGGAGAAGGTGGGTCACGGAGATGTGCTCTCTGTCTTGTCTGTCTGTCTGTCTCTCTCGCTCTCTGCTTCCTGATGGCCAGGAGCTCACAGATCTCTCCCACCACCATTCCCTTGTGCCATGATGTTCTGCTTTGGGCTCAGGGCCATGGAGTTGGCTGACCATGGACTGAGACCATTGAAACCATGAGCCCGATTAAACTTTGCCTCCTCTGAGTTGTTCTTTTTTAGTTGTAGTTGGACACAACACCTTTATTTTACTTATTTTTATTTGTATGTGGGGCTGAGGATGGAACCCAGGACCTCCCACGTGCTAGGTGAGCGCTCTACAGCTGAGCCACGACCCAGCACCTCTCTGAGCTGTTCTTGTCTGGTATTTTGGTCACAGGACACAAAGCTTCCGGACGTACAGGTTGGGGGCAGGTCCCTTTATCCCTAGTTTGTAGGGTGTTGGGGTGTTTTGCTTTGTCTGTCATAAGTGTTGGATTGTCTCACATTCTTTGTGTGTCTATGGAGAAGATTGKGTGGTGTTTGTCTTTCTTACCTTTTGTTTACTTATTTGTCTATTTATTTATTTATTTATTTGCAGTACTGGGGATGGAACCCAGGGCCTCACGCCTGCTAAGGCCTCTGCCACTAGCTACACGCCGCCCCTTTTTCCACTTTTAGGTTTTTAATCTAGTAGATGATACTGATTGGGAGCCTCACCCCCAGGCCCCTTAGTGGACTTACCAGTGTCTTGGACACCCCCTGTATGACCATCTCCCACTCCACTGCGTCTCCTTGCCCCTCCCCTGGCCTCCCCACCACCCTTGAGCTCTGAAACCTGCCCTAGGAGGAAGGCCGGCCTCACCACTTGTGCTGGTTCTGAGCTGGAGGCCTCAGCCCCAGCCCGCAGCCTCTTGCCTGGCCTTAGGGCTGGGTTGTTCTGGAAGGGGAGAGGAGGGGGGGGGAGCGCAGCACTCGGACTCTGTGCTGTGCCCTGATGTCACCTGTCCTGACAGCAGCCCTACAGGAGCCACCGTCCCCCCATAGTACAGGTGGAGGCCTCCTCGCCTGGGCCAGGCYAGCCTCCCTGCAGACAGCAGCTCTTGCTCCCAGGGAAGCCGCCATCCCCCCCTTCCCCCATCCCGTGAAACCTGAGATTCAGTCACCCTGGAGAATCGCAGCATTCAATATTTGATGAGCCCCAATTAAGCTTAATGATGACAAGTGACAAATGCGTGACGAAGCCGCCTTTAGGAGCTGGACGTCAGTGAGCGTGGGCCTCTGTGGTGATCTACGCATCACTCCTTGCACTGTAGACCCTATTTGCACCCTTGGGCCCAGTTTCCGGAAAATTCACGGGGATGCAGTGTCCAAATACGATCACCCAGAAGGTCAGAGACAAGCCCAGAGAGAGCCCCACTCCCCTCGCTCCTGCTGGCTCCCTCTTGGGAGAAAATCGGATGATGAGTGGACCCTGTGGGGTCCAACCGTGTGTGTGGACGTCACTGGCTTCTCATTAGGAGGAGCCCATTCTGGACACTCTGGAGATAGGCTCCGGCCACTGCACCTCCATAATGTCACTGTGGCTCTGGATGCTGCTGGGACAGTTCCTAGGGCTGGGGTGCAGCTCGGTGTTAGAGCGCCCGCCTGGCCGAGTGAGGCCCTGGGTCCCTCCCTAGCACTGCAGGAAACAGAAAGAAGGAGGGGAGAGGAGGAGGGGGGAGCGGCAGGAGAGGGACGGCCAGGAGGGCACAGGCTGACAGCTGGGACTCCCGGCCTCTGCACAGACTTGGGTGAGCACTTCAGCTGCCTCAGGCTGTTCTCCCTGTGGGTCGTGGGGAGGGCGAGGGGGAGCGGATTCGCGGGATCACTGTGAGCCACGGCCAGTATTCACCATTCAGCGGCAGCAGTGATGATGTCCATAATGATAATTGCCCTTTAAAAGCCAGAACAGCCCCAGCACCAGGGAAACAGATAATAAAAGCCAAAGCAGAACCAGGTGTTTGTGTCAAGGGAAGATATTTCATTATAAAATTCTTATAAAGATGAGTGATTTGAGAGAAGAAAGAAGCCCTTGATGGCTGTGGAGACTTTCCAGCACGCTCAGGACAGGGGTCCCCCCCACAGGCAGATGGGCATTCAGAGTGAAGAATCCGCCGTGTCCACACACCCTTGTGCAGGTACTTAACTCAGCTGTAGGTCCGGACCAACAAAGACCTTCCCCAGAATCCCTAAGGCAAGGGCTGGGTGTTTTCTATCTTGGCCATTTGCAAAAGCCAAATAACCTTCGTGTCCAATTTTCTACTGCTTTCACAACTATGTTGCATTTGAACAACGTAATGGACCAAAATCAAATAACCTCCCTGTTGTGACTGAGTCCTTGTATTAATCAGCTTTTCGTCACTATAATGAAATGAATGACCCAGGCTCCTTGTGAATAAGAAGAGGTTTATTTAGCTCAGAGTTTTAGAGGCTGAAAGTCCACACAGCGCAGCACAGGCTCTGTGGGCAGGCCACCCTTGGCATGGATAGCGGTGGTGGGAAGGCGTGCAGGTGTAAGCAGAGGGAATGGAGGGGCCAATCCACGAGAACCACTCAAAGGGTCCCATGAGAACCTCCTCAGGGCACCCCCAGTGATGCAAGGACCAGGCCGGTCCCATCACAGTAGCCACATCCAGGGACACGCCTCTGCTCACGGAGCCCTTGTGGAGACTCAGACCGTATCCCAGTCACACCAGCCCTCGCTGATCTGTTTTGCCTGTTCTTGCCACAGACGGAAGCACAGAAAGACGCCCCGCAGAAGGCCTTTCCCGTGGGGACCGGACACCGTGTCCGACTGAGCCTGGATGACATCGCAGAGGAGCTCCCCCRGGGCACGCAGGAGCCAGGTGGGGCAGCGCCTGGGGCCTCCGTGTTTCCTACGCTGGTGACCACAGGAAGTCCTCCCCGTCAGACGGGCGCGCACCAGCGTTCCTCTGTTCTGCTCAGTCCTTACTCGAGCCCCGAGAGTAGGAACCAGGCCCCAAGCACCCCAGGAGCCAGTCAGTGATTTATCCAAGTCAGCGGCAGGATGGGGTCTTCATGCAGAGCCTGAGAGACCCCACCCCAGTCCCTGCCTCCTGGTCCCCGGGTAGGAGCCCCGGCACAGCAGCCCTGACCCCGGCGTTGTGCTGCCTGGCAAAGGCCTGCCAGGAGGGCCCGCGTCTTCACCTGGCTGTGGCAGCCCTGTGTGGGCATGGGGGCCGGATGGCAAGGTGCTTACTCCCCAGGGAGCACCTGCCCACGAGCCCTCACACTGTGCACAAACAACCAAGAACTGCACATGTCTAACCTCGTAAAAAGCAGAGCAGGCCTCTCCCCCACCAGAGGAAGACGCTGCTCCCAGAGCCTCCTYCATCATCTCCCTGCTTTTTCAATCTTGCCAGCTGTTCCCAGCAACACCCGCTTCTGGTCACTCGGGACACCGGGGCTTCTAGGAGCAGGGACGGTGAACCACCTCTGAACCCCGAGCCTTGGTGGGGTGGCTTTCCCTTCTCTTTTTCATCGTGACCCATGGTGGGGCAGCTTTGTGGCTGCCTCCCCCAGAATACGAGGATTAGACCCCTTTCCAGCAACATCCTGCTTCCTCCCACAGAGGAGCCCCAGGCCCGCCCGCGGGAGGAACCCCTGACAGCCTTCCTGGACCGGATCCAACAACTGACCTCGGAGGAAGAGGCCCTGGAGGACAGAATCGAGTCTGACGAGAGTGAAGAGGCTGAAGAAGAGGCATCCCAGCTGGTGGTTCTGGACCCTGAGCACGTAAGAAACGCTCCTGGGCTTTGCTCCCACTCTCCACGGGGGCACGGCGTAGGCCTGGGACCCCCTGCGCTGTGTCGGTCTCACCTGCTCCCGAACGGTCAGCTGCACTTTGGGCCCACTTGGCAAGGAGCGCTTTTCTTTTAGATGAGTGCACCTTTCAGCCCAACCCTAACACGTGGGGCAGACCACTTGGGGGTGGCCACCCTGGACATGCAGGTGCTGAACAGGCCCCTGGCCTCCACCCTCCCATGCCAGGAGCACCCCCTTCCTTGTGACACCCCAAAATGTCTCAGACTGTGCTGAAAGGCTGTGCTGGGGGCAGAATCACTCGGCCGAGAGTCACTGCCCTGAGTGCCCCAATCAGCTTGTAGTTCCTTGTCCCAGCCCCTGGCAGAAAAAAAAAGGGAATTTTGATTTTTGTAACCCATTTAGAAAGTTGTGATGCTCCAGGCAGCCGGAGGAAGGAGCGGGGTGCACTGGGAAGTTCTTTGCCCATACCTCTGAGGCTGGCACCCCGGCCACTGGTCATACCACCACCCRCCCCAAGGAACACTAGGAAGGCCACCACAGCTCACTACCCTTTYGCCATTCGGTTCTGCAGTGCTCATCCAGTAGGACGCCGGGCAGGAAGTGGGGTGCACGGCCATCTCTGTGCCCCCGCGCCTGCACAGGAGGGAGGTGGGTGTCCCTGGACTAGGCCCTGCAGTCACTGGCACACGCTTTTCCATTGTCTAGCCTCTGATGGTCAGGTTCCAGGCTGCCCTGAAGAGCTACCTTACCCGACAGATAGACAAGTTGAGGCTGGAACTCCAAGAGCTGGTGCGTATGGGTCCCGTCTCCCACCCAGGCCGGGCGCCGGCATCCCGTGACCCTGTTTCTCTCTGCGGCGCAGGAAGTGGCCACCAAGCAAAGCCACGCCCAGCGGCAGGAGCTGGGCGTCAGTCTCTATGGAGTCCAGCAGCACCTGGCCCGCCTGCAGATGCAGCTGGAGAAGAGCCATGACCGCCACTCGGTGGCAGCCTGCGAGAGGAGGCAGCAGGAGGAGGAGCTGCGCGAGGTGCGCGCGCTCTACAACAAGACCAACGAGGCCGCCAACCAGGAGCGCAAAAAGYGTAAGGCGCCCTGCGCCACGTGTGCGTCCCCTCCCCTCCCCGTGCCCGGGTGGGTGTCCAGTCCTTCCAACTACGTGTTTTTTAAAATGACCCGCGGGACAGCCATCAGAGCCAAACTTGTGTGGGCACCGTGGAGGGGTTCCTGGTTTGTTTGTTTTTTAAAGGAAGACCCATAAATTTCTTTTTAAAAATCGGGCAAACCCTAAAACTGATAATCGTTCAGTAATCAGGGGTGGAGACTCAAAAACATGGGGATGGTGGGGTCTACCGAGGTCGGGTCCCGAGGAAGCTCAGAGCAGAGAGCTACGGTAGGTAGGGTTTCATTCCGGCACTAGGCCACGCTGAAGACGCAAAGGCTGGTCCCCGCAGCCGCGCAGCCAGGGATGGGGCAGCCTGATGGGAAACCAGGTAGCGGTGGCTCCCGGAGCCAGGGGGAGCAGTGGCGAGGCCTGAAGCACTCCTGGTCCWGCACAGAGGGCACAGGGACGGTGAGCAGTGGCCTCCTCTTGTGGTCACTGGGAGTCAAGTCCCCAACTTTTTTTGTCAACGCTACACTAATGTAACAGGGAAATCGCCTAAAAAAAAAATCTGGAAGAAAATAGCACCTTAGGTATATCCACCTGTTCTGGAAAGAAATACTTTGAGCCCTGAGAAATTCAGGAGGGGTTTCCAGACCTTTCCAGGTCCAGGTCTGTGGTTCTGCTGGAGAGTCTGTGGGGCCGTCAGCAGTGGGCAGAGTTTGTTTGGCTCTTGGTTCTGGAGACTGGGAGCTCCCGGATCGAGGGCCAGCACCTGTGTAGTGAGCATCCCCCAAGGCAGCAGAGCAGAGGGGAGAGAGCAGGAGAGTGGGCCTGGCACCCCCAGCCCTTCATGAGTGGCAGGAATCCGTCAGGAGTGGGTCCTGGTGACCTGAACACCCCACCAGCCCTGGTGCCTTGGGGGTCACATTTCCAGCATCTACTCTTGAAGGACACATTCAGACCACAGCATTTATCAAGAATCTCTCCTCGTTACCTCCAAACCAACCCAAAACACAAAACAGAAGGTGACAGCCACACTGAAGGCAAGGAGCCACGTCTGGACTGTAGTGGAACTTGAAGGGGGACACTTGTCCCCAGCTCACCCCTACAGTGAGCCAGGAACCATGGAGCTGGCCAGCTCCTCTCTGCCTCGGCCCTTCTGGAAACAGCCAGACACATGTGATGAGGGCAGGAGCAGAAGCCACTCAGCCTGGCGGGGATGGCCGCAGTCAGCACACTTTTATCCTTCTCAGCTTCAAAAATTCAGTTACAGTTGTAGCCCTGGCCACAGGGCTGCTGCCAATGCACTGGCCCTTAGGTGACACCTGGTGCTTGGCCCCTCCTGAATGCCTTTGTCACCTACATGAGCCACTAAACCKTCCCATCAAAACAGGAGCCATCCTGGGGCTGGCAGCCAGCGCAGCCCACTGACGCGGAGCAGATCTGGCAGCAGACACACACCAGTGGGTATCCTGTGTGAGATTTCAGAGGACATGGCATGGTAAACGAGAACACAGGGTTAGGAAGAATGATCCCTGGAATTAAAAAATATAAACAGCTCCCAAAAGAGGCACCAAGCAAGTGAATGTTGTTGGAACTGAGTTTGTGAACGGAAGGCCAATTTGAGGAACCCGCCCTCGAACTGAGAAGGAGATAAGCAGGGAGAGAGCTGGGAGAGTCAGGGTTCAGGAAGAAGCTTCAGGAGGTGAGAGGCAGTGACCAGTGATGCTCAGACCTGGCAYGAGATGGGGAATGACGGACCTCCGCAGCAGGACAGTGGAATTAAGAATCAGCATGGGGGCTGGGGATGTGGCTCAAGCGGTAGCGAGCTCGCCTAGCATGCGTGCGGCCTGGGTTCGATCCTCAGCAGCACCACATACCAACAAAAAGATGTTGTGTCTGCCAAGAACTAAGAAAATAAATAAATGTTAAAAAAAAAAAGAATCAGCATGGCTGGACGCGGCTGCTGACATCTTCAGGTTCCAAAGGAAAAGGAGACGACGCTTCAGACATCTCCACAGGAGGACTCCAGTGCCCGAGGAGGGAGCAGCAGCTGGTCAAGGCTGGCCCTGGAGGGACCAGGGAGAGGTGGAGCACCCCTCCAGCCAGACCCGACTCCTGACTCGTCTGGTGGGGCAGACAGGCATGGCTCCTTTTGTTTCTTTTCTCCTCTGCTCCGTTTCCCCTTCCCTCTCCTTCTCCTCTGTTTTTAAGCGTGGCAGCCTAGTGAGCAGTGCGGCGGTGCCCAGAGTTCTGAGGACTGGATACCCCCTGGACTGGAAACCCCCAGTGGGCATCCAGTCCTTAGAACTAGTTACTTTTAAAATGACCAATAAACTTGGGGCTGGGGATGTGGCTCAAGCGGTAGCGCGCTCCCCTGGCATGCGTGCGGCCCGGGTTCGATCCTCAGCACCACATACCAACAAAGATGTTGTGTCCGCCGAGAACTGAAAAATAGATATTAAAATTCTCTCTCTCTCTCTCTCTCTCTCTCTCCCCCTCCCCCTCATCTCTCTCTCTTAAAAATAAATAAATAAATAGATAAATAAATAAATAAATAAAATGACCAATAAACTTGACAGAATCCCTTCCTGTTGGATGAAGAACAAAGGGAGATGACACAAAGCCACAGCGTGGGACCAAGAGCTATGCCAGGGAACTTCTGCCTTGCTTATTTCAAAGCGTCTGCGCATGGCTGACTCCAGCTCTGGGCAGGCGCTGATTGCTCTCCCAGCCCTCCAGGGGCAGAAATCTGAGGAACTTTCCAGGCCTGTCCTGCAGCGCTGCTGACCACCGCTGAACCAGCGCACCCTGGAGCCACTCATGCACACAGGTCAGGTTCAGCGGCACCCGAGAAGAGAAGCGCCTGGCCACCAAGGAGGGCTCTCTTCTGGACGTCAGGCGTAACGCGTGACCGGGAACCTGCCCAGTTAACTCGCTGAGTTACACCAGAGGAGAAAAGAGGCCTTCTGCATGGACGCCAAATGGGCGCTTGGTAAACACCCAGTCCACCCAGGCCTGAGTGCCCCCTGAGTGCCTGCCAGGAGGCCCCAGCCGAGCCAGGGGCCCGGGAGACCGGATGCGGCAGGTGGTGGAAATGAATCGCGTCAAAGATTGACGGTAACTGACGGTGATGACGGTCAAAAGCTAATGGGAGAGGAATTCCACGGAGTGACTGGAGCCAGATGTGCAGTTTCCTTCTACACAAGTGACACTCAGCTAGGGAGGATGATTTAAAAAGATGCCATCCCCAGGAGCTATAGCAGCCACAGGACCCTGGGGAACAAGTCCCCAAGAACGGGGTGAGCCGTCAGGAGGAAAACGATGCTAATGGATGACGCGGAGCAGGCTTCACCGAATGGAGCAACCTGGTGGCTCCACGGGAAGGTGCTAATGTCACTTCTCTCTAAGTTAATAGTAAGTTTAGTGCGGCACCAGCTAAGGCCCATGTTGGGCTGTTTCTGGTGAGGTTGAGCTGATGGGCCAGTGTCTTACTTTGAAACAACATTCAGAATTGAAGATCTCCACTGTGAGAAGTGCCCCCACCCCACCACCCCAGCCCCAGGCCACCACCGAGGTTGGTTCAGGGGTCCTGCCTGAAGAGTACGTCTGCAGATATGAGCAGCTGCAGGAGGGCTCTGTCGCTCCCTCCCGCCTCATCTACACAGCTAAGTGTTACAGCGCTGCTCTCCTCCAAGTAACGTCTCCTGGAGGGTCCCGTCTCCTGGAGGGTCCCATCTCCTGGAGGGTCCCATCTCCTGGAGGGGTCCCGTCTCCTGGAGGGGGTCCTGTCTCCTGGAGGGTCCCGTCTCCTGGAGGGGGTCCTGTCTCCTGGAGGGTCCCGTCTCCTGGAGGGTCCCGTCTCCTGGAGGGGGTCCCATTTCCACCATAAAGAGCTCTATGCCTTGAAAGTTGGTTTGAAAATCACCTTGGAGGTCTAAATGCACAAGAGTACCCAAGAACCTCTGGAAAAGGAGACATCACGAAGGAGATGTCTGGTCAAGCGTGGAGGCTCCCTGGAACTCTGCCGCGTAACAGGAGGGAGGAAAGCAGCGGGCAGTTCCAGGGAGGAGCGGCCAGCTCGGCGGAGAGCACCTGCGAACGAACGCGCTTTGGAATGAGCTGCTGAAGGCCACCTAATCACGCTGGCTGCTTTGCGGGAGTCGCTGAGTTTCTTTTCAGTGCTGGGAAGGGAGCCCAGGGCCTCGTGCGTGCTGGGCAAGCGCCCCGCCGCGGAGCCGCACCTAGCCCCCTGAAAGTTCTCCATCTTCTGAAAAAGAAGTGCTTTGTCCTCCGTAGTTCCCACTCCAGGGAGATAAGTTCAGGTACAGTAAAGATTTAAGAATTCACAGGAGAACATGCCGGTCATCCCTCGTCACCTGGGGTGCAGGCACGATGTGGAGCAGAGGCCGGAGGGGAGGGCTTGGGCCGGTGGGATTACAGAAGAGCTGAAAACGTCCCTGTCGAGAATCACAAATGGGGACAAGGCCCTTGAGACGTCAGTGACGACATCCAGCCCTCCAGCACACAGCCACAAATGCGCTGGCTCCCAGCTGCACCTGTCAGAGGGTCTGGCGCGCAGTCCAGGCTCCACTCAGGACCCAGCAAGGCCAAGTCGCTGTGGTGACCGTCCTCCTAGTGAAGTTCCCCGGGGAACTCTGCTCCCGAGCTTGTTCCCATCGCTGGGGGTCTTCAGGCCCCTGCACCTGTGAGGCTGAGCCCCCTTCTCTGCTGACTGCCACAAGGCTGTGCCCAGCTCCTGCAGACGCCACCCAGACCCTCCCCTCCCAGCCAGCCTTGGAGACTGTCCATCCTTCCCGCTGTGACTTCCCCTTTACCACCATCCTCAGGGAACACTGGCTCTCAGAGGGTCACCTGCCAGCCCAGGCCACCCGGTGACCTCCCTGTGGCGTCAGTAGCACGATCACAGAGTAGCCCCAAGAGGCAGAGATGTGGGAGCCATTTGAAAATCCTGCCCACAGCGTTTTTATTACACAAGGAACTCCCAGGAGCCAGTACAGACCACCTGCATTCCAGTAGGAGAAGGGGTAGGGAGACAGGCGGGCAGGGCACTCAGGGAGAAGACCCTGGTGCGAAAACAGAGTGGGTTCACCTCGGCTAACAGGGAATGAACCTTGACTTAGCTGCTCACACGGAGGAGGGTGGGATGGGTGCTCTTAGGGACGCGTGGAACGCACGCCTGGTGTGTGAAGGTGGTGAAGTGGTCCGCTCAGTGCATGCCAAGTCCCACGGACCGGTGGCTGAAACCAGAGGTTCATTTCTCACAGCCCTGGGGGCTGGACGTCCCCGATGGTGGTGTTGTGGGGCTGGCTCCTCCGGTGGCTCCTCAGTGTGCGATGGCCTCTCCTCCTGAGTCTCTCAGGGAAACCCCTCTGGGTCTGGATCTCTTTTGAGAACACAGGCTGGGCCAGGGCTACCCTAGTGCCCCACTTGGCCTTGGCACCTCTTTAAAGGCGCTATGTCCAGGTGCAGTCACATTCGGAGAAGCCCAGGGGTCAGGATGTCCGTGATCCAGAGCAGAGCTCAGCCCTGCGCAGAGGGTCCCTTGTCTCCATCTCCTTGAAGGACAGTCAGGCAGTGCTTCCCCAGACGCAGCATGGACGCCCTGGCACACCCGTGCTCCCTGGCAGGAGCAATCTCAGATGACAGCGAACTGTGCGAAAGGGAGCAGGCCGTAGCTCAGAGGTGGAGCCTGGCAGTGCCAGGCCCTGGGCGCCATCACCAAGGGCAGTGACTGGCAGTCACCACAACAGAGACTGCCCAGTGGGTCCGAGAGAGGGATAAAGACCCAGAAGAGAAGAGAACGCTCCCTTCCAGGGCCTAACAGTCCGTCAGAGGAAGGGAGTGGTGAGCAGGAGAAGAGGAGAAATAGAGAAATCGTGGATGAGGAGCGTCCACGTTGGTGGAACTGTCACCCCACAGGTCCAAGGAGAGCTGCCCGGTGCCTCACCGTCACACTGACGAGAACCCAACCCTGAGGCAGCCGTTGGGAGCCCCGACACACAGCCGGCCAGTCTCCCTGCGGGGCTTCCGCCGCCCTGCTCCTGTCTCCGGATCCTGCAGACAGCAGCGAGCGTTCACAGCGCTGGAAATCCCACAGTCCCTGGGCCTTTAGAAGCATCTTCTTTTGGAGCTTGGGCTGTGTCCTTCGAGGGCGCCTGACCCGACTCGTCTCCACCCAGCAGCCTTGAGCCTCTAGTGGGTGCGCTCTGCCCTGGCGCACGCCATGCCAGGGAGCAGCGATTCTGTGTTGAGGCACAGCTGCCCAAACAGGTGGCCATTCCATCCTCACCATCCATCTCATGGGACTCTCCTTAAAGGGAATCTATTCCTTGGGGTCCAGTCTTTTGGGGGAACACAGATAAAAACTGTTCTCCAGCTTTGAGTGGGGATGGGAAGTACTGCCCGCTGGAGGCCCAGCCTGGGGGCCCGCCTCACCCTGGGGCCCGCACTGGCCCTGGTCAAAGCCTGGGTCTTTGTGGTTCAAGCACAGTCCCAGCCCCACCTGGAAACATGTTCCCTGGACCTGCCGGGTGATGGTGGGGGTCCCCGGGTGCTGCCCCTCCCCTCCTTCCAGGCCACGCGAAGCGCGGGAGGAGCTGACGGCTGCTCCTGACTCTGCAGTGGCAGCCCTGCAGCTGGAGATGGAGAGCTGACGGCCGCTCCTGACTCTGCAGTGGCAGCCCTGCAGCTGGAGATGGAGAGCTGACGGCCGCTCCTGTCTCCGCAGTGGCAGCCCTGCAGCTGGAGATGGAGAGGTTGGCCCTGAATCTCTTCTACATGCAGAACGTGGACCAGGACGTGCGGGACGACATCTGCGTGATGAAGCAGGTGGTGAAGAAGGCCGAGGTGGAGCGCACGCGGGCCGAGGCGGAGAAGAGAAAGCAGGTGCGCCGCGGGTCCCGCAGCYGGTCATCTCTGAACCTTCCCTCGGCTGCCCACGGGGCCCTGCCAGCGGGGAGGACGAGGCAGCCTGGGCGCTGACTTGGGTCGGGTTGTGGAGTGGTCCTCGGGTGTGGACAGGTCTTCTCTGAGCACCTTCTCATCCTGAACCCAGGACCTGTTCGTGGACCAGCTCACCCTGCGGACCAGCCAGCTGGAAGACGACATCTCTCTGTTGGAGGCGCAGTACCTTGCCCAAGCTGAGGACACCCAGATCCTAAGGAAAGCAGTGAGTGAGGTAAGAACACCCCAGACACGCCACTCCTGGGCCCTGGAGTCTTCTGGGCTGTGCCACTATTGATGCCACCATTGACGAGTGACTGCAACCGGCCGCGAGTCCAGAGAGTCAGAAGGCCGGGCCTTGCCCATCTGCCCATCTCCTTTAGCCCCTGGGAACCCCTGGCTGTGCCCATGGTGGGGTCCAGCAGGTACCCCGGGGCCTTAGGACAGGGCGTGGGAGTTCTGCCAGGAAGAGAGGCACTTCCAATGCTGGGGGACCCTGGCAAGTCCTGAGCCGGCTGCCAACCTCTTCTGCAGAGGACTGAAGTCTTGGTGGCCGGCACTCCCAGGCAGTGCCACCGTCTGCCCCAGGAGGAGGAGGGTCACAGAGGTGAGCCCCTGGGTAGGAGCTGCGGCTGTCAACACCAGGAACCAAAGTGACCTGGCCGGGGTCTACCTGAGTTGCTGTCTGCATTCGCTAGTGCAGGAATGACTCAAGAAGTCATCCAACACAAGAAGAGGGGACTTGAAGGAGGGACAGCAGGCCTGGTCCAGGGTGGCAGGAGGAGGGTGCRGCATCGCCAAGCCGTCTGTCCTGTTCACCCGGGAAGACCATCAACCCAGGGTGGGTTCCATTCACACCTCAGGGGAAGCTGAGCCTCTTGGTTAAGAAAGTGCTTCTGGAGTTTTCCAGCCAGGAATCGGGGCAGGGAAGGTCCGGTGGGGCAGCCAGCTGACCCATACCTGGGATGGAAGGATTCCCAGCATGTGGGCCTGAACCCAAGAGAGTCCTGGGCCAACTGGGACAGGGTCACCCTGGTGCCGCCCCCCCCCCCAGGTACTAAAACACTGGAATGAGGTAGGGAGCCGACAGAAAATGTGGGTCCAGTGGAGTCTGCTCATGGGCGGTCACCAGGGAAAATCAGCCCTTCCCTCACACCCGCCACCACAGCAAGTTCCAGGGGGAATCAAGTATTTAAACAGGGGGAGTGGACCAGGAGGTGAAAGGAAATTTTTATATAATCCGGGGCTGAAGGGGCCTCTCAGCATCACCCAGAGCAGAACCGTAACAGAAAGGACGGGAGGGACCCCAGCGGCAATGGAACCCCGCAGTCGAGGACCCCGTGAGCTACATGCAGACAGACCTCAGTCAGCGGGGGCTGTCTCAGCCTGTTTTCCACTGTTGAGGGCACAGCACCTCACCCCGGAGGCTCTGCAGAAGAGGTTTATTTGGGATCAAGGTCCTGCATCTGGGGACCATCTTTGGTCCAAGGTCAAGGGACTGCATATGGGGACCGCCTTCTTGCTAGCAGCGTCCCAAGGTGAGAACAGGGTGCCTGAGGCCCTGGGCGAGATTTCATGGGCAAAATCTCCCCAGAACTGCAGCCTTTTTCCACCTGTGAGGGCAGAGCCCTAGTCACACCTTCAAGGTCCCGCCTGGTCCCTCCTCTTGATATCCAGCGTGGGGGTTGAATCTCCTCATGACTTGGGGAGGGACAGACCACTGCCCACCACAGAGGGTGTGAGGAGGCTTGGAGAATCACCAGAATCCAGCGCACTGGGGCGACGCTGCAGGGTTTCTGCTTTTTTGAAGCCTGTTTGCACCTTTGCCTCCAATCCTGGTGTGGCTCCACCAGGACAGGGTCCTCCCAKGGTCTTTGAATTTCCTTCCTGGGCCAGCAGGTGCCACGGATGCTCCTCTGGTGAACTGAGAAGCCAGTGATCAGCTGATGGAAAAGGCGGGCCATCCCCACTGAACTGGCTAGGGCCGAGGAGCCAGAGGGAAGCCCAGCCTCCACCCTGGACCTCCACCCCGGGCCTCCACACAGGGTCCCTCCCTGCTGTCAGGACCCTTATTGAGGACAACACTTAATTTGTAGCAAAATCACTCCCCTTCCCCCAAATATCACTACTTGGACTTCATTCCAAGGAAACTACTAAAACACACTCAAACAACACGTTGATACTTTAGAAAAGCCATAGATAAAATGAAGACCCCTCACTGGGAAGACAGGCTCCACCCCTGTTAGAAAGAACACACTTGGGCCAGCCAGGCGGCAGCCGGCAGCCTCGGGGACTCCCAGCCCCAAGCACCCCAGCCCCTGCCAGAGGCCTGAAGGGATTCCAGGCTTCCTTGAAGCCCGTTTGGCTTCCTGTTACCCCTTGCTGTTGCGTGACAAGAAAGAGGGCAGAGGGGGGGAAGAGGCGGCTCCCGAGAAGCCCTGGCCCTCACCTGTGCCCGCGGCCCCTCCCGCGGCAGGCCTGCATGGAGATCGAGGCCATCAACATGGAGAAGAAGCGCATCCTGCAGCAGTGGTCCACCAGCCTGGTGGGCATGAAGCACCGCAACGAGGCGCACCGCACCATCACGGAGGCCCTCAGGTATGGCCACACCGGGGTCAGCCGTCCCCGGGAGCAGCAGCCAGGTGGCGGGCGGGCTGGGGACACGAGGGCATGGGGCGGTCTAGCAGGCCCCCTCAGTCCCACCTCTCCAGGTCCCCGGATCTCCAGGGACACGAGGTTCCCGCTCTCGAAGGCCCTGGGGCGGCAAGGCTCCTCTCAGATTTCCTGGCAGGATTAGGGAAAGGGAAAGAGAAGGGTGGACCCCGGGACACAGCCTCCCCTCCAGAGCACAGAAACCCCCTCCCTCCCATCCACCCAGAATCCCCAGTTCCGTTCCCATGGAAGGGCGGGAGGAGGTGGCTCTGAGACGGGGATGTTGGAGACGGGGGTGCTACGCGGATGCCCAAAGCCACCCAGGGACGGGGCCTCTGGACCTGGGACCCGGAAAGCTGGGTTCTGGAGRTGGCCTGTGGCTCCCGCGCGGCACGCTCTCGCCACGGCTGTCCTGTCGTTGCCACCTCTGGCACCCACGGGGGCAGTGCAGAGCGGGCCCTGGGTCGAGGAGCGCAGGCTCTGCCCGCAGCAAGCCTGGTGCCGTGGGGGCAGCCAGGAGACCCCAGGTGCTGTGGTTTTTAAAATGCTGAGGTGTAGGTGATTGTTCTTAAAAGACAATGCAACATGAGTCATGCTGGATTAAAAGTCCTCGCTCCTCCTCTTCCCTCCATCAACAAAACAAAGCTGAGGGGCCTCTGGAGCATTCTGTCTGAAGAGGAGCCCAGGCCRGTTGTGGCTGGACAGAGTCTCCCTGCCCTGCAGGGGCTGACGCTGGTGCTCAAGGCCATCTGACCACCTGCGTTAGTGGCCCGGTGACCTTGAGTAAGGCCGCGGCAGAGGGTCTCTTAGAGGGCTCAGCACTGGCGGCTCCCCCAGCCTGGTGGCCTGGGTCCCTGGGGAATGCGACATCTCCGTGACCTTCCTGTGCCCCCAGGACTTCACCGTGTCCTCTCTGCAAATTGTCCCCCTTGACTCGTCCCCTGGCCGTCCCTACATGTCCTTAGAAATGTAGCTTGGCCACACCCTACCCATCTTTTTAATCTTCTGAATGGATAGCATGGAACCTGGGTTAACAACATTGCAAAACCATGTACGACTTGAGCCCCCTCCCAGGGCRGCCCCCAGTGTCCTCCCATACACCAAGGCTCTGATTGCCTGTGTCTCCTGTCCTAGCTTCCCCTGTGAGCCAGGGACGCAGGCCCAGGTGGCCTTCCTTTTCTGCCCCGCCCGGTACCGCGCACTGTCTGCACCTGCTTCCCCAGCACCCTTCAGAGCCGCTCCTGTGCTCTGCTGTCCACCCTGGCTCCTGAGGGCTCCTGGTGTGTCCCTCCCACGGGGTTGCCGTGTGTCACCAGGCCCGGAATGCTCTGTCGTGCAGGGTGCAGCGTGCGCTCTCTCACACCCTGGGTCCCAGGGTACAGAGGTCTGCAGGCGTCACCAGAGATGACTGTGACTGTCACATCCCCACCAGCAGTGTGTCAAAGTGCTCTGACAGTTCAACACATTTTCACACCTTAGGGTTGTGCCAGCGGGATCGGTGAACAAAGTAGGCATCTGGTGTTTAAAAATGGTTGTGCACAGTGTCGAGTGAACGTCTCAGCAAAACAGTGCACACTCGCCGGCACCCAGGGAGCTCAAGGCCTCTGCGCCCTGCAGTTGTGCACCCAGCCCCTGCCTCCACCCCCACACCATGGTCAGCCTTTCCAAAGGGCAGGGGCCACTGTGAGAACTGTAGGTGTGACCGCAGAGGCGCTCTCTGCACCCAGAAGGTTTGGAGAGGGAAATCTGAGCCGCTGAACAGGTCGGGAGCGGCCTCACTCAGGACTTCCCGAACACCAGCGGTCAGCCCTCGGGTGTGCAGGCCTGCAGGACATTTAGAAAACAGACAGACATGGAGGCACTCCTGGTCAGGCTGCAGGCCTGCGGCCACACTGCTGGCTGGCTCCCCTCCTGGGCCTAGCAGGCCACTGACTGGAAGCAGTTTTGCAGTCTCACCAGGAGCCTTTGTCCTCTGGTCAGTTACATGCCCCCTCCTCACGTGCATCATGAAAAGTCAATATGAAGGTCTGAACAGAGGCTCCCTCCCTGACTGGCCAGCTCCCGTCTGTGGCAAGAACATAGGGCAGTGACACAGGTGCTGCCAGGGACCTGGGGGTGGAGCACCGAGGCCCTGGCCCCTTCTGCTTCTGCCTCTCACCCAGAGCACCTGGCCATCTGTCCGGCTGGCAGGAGTCCCGCAGCCTCACCCGCTGGGTGGCCTTTTCCTCTCGGCTGCCCGGGGATGGCTTCAGGTAGTGAATCCCTCCAGCGGGTTCCGCCAAGATGCGCTGTCTCTCCAGTGGCTTGCACACCTCTTCACCCTACAGGGAGACGCGCTTTAACTCTTGCCTGGTCATCCGACTCCCCAGAGACCTCCCAGGTCTTGGGGCCAGCACCTTAAGATGCCCCCCTGTGTCTCAGACGCAAGCGGCAGGTTTGGCTCTGTTCTAAGCACCTGGCCTTCCCCGTCTGCCTGTTCTGCTGCTCTCCAGGTAGCTTTCGGGGTCTGGCCTGCTGTCCTGAATGTGCAGGGGAAACCTGAACCGCGGGACTCAGCTGTCACACTGCTCCAGAGGGAAGCAGAAGGTTGGCCTTGGGGACTTCCTTCCCCTCAGTCCTGACCAGGCAGAGGCGGCTCCGCCCCACGAAGCCCCTCTGTGGGAGGACAGGGGCTGCCCTTGCTGGTGGCTTGGCTTAATGCATGGGGGCTTAATGCATCCGGACGCCCTGGGTGCAGGACCAGCGGTCTGTGCTTCCCAGGGCTGACCAGATCCCGACCTGATCCCGACCTGTGGCTGCGCCATTTCGCCCGGGGGGTGGGGGGGTGGCCGAGGGTCAAGCTGCTCCTGAGGAAACTGAGACACCGCGGCCTCTGCCACACGCTGGTTCCCGGTGGCATTTCCAGCGGCAGCACAGGAGAGCCCTGCTGCTCTCACGGCGCTGGGACCAGGGTCCCGTGCGCTGTGGCCATCCGCAGAACCGCCTGGTGCTCCTTGTTAAACTGCGTGGTCCACCTGAGGGYTCTTTTTATATTCTGCAGACTAGTCCTTTCTCAGATGTGGGTTTTGAAAATATTTCCCTCCGGTCCGTGGCTCATCTTTTCTTCTCTTAACAGTGTCTCTGAAGAAACCCAAAAGGAGGTCTGAATTTTTTGTCAATTTCCTCCTTTTCTGGTTTTTGCTTTTTTATGGGGGTGCTGCCTGCCCCGGGCCTGTGGCGGCCTTCTCCGTCTTCCGCCCGGGCTCCTGGTGGTGGCTCTGATGGTCAGGAGTGCCGTCCACTCCASTGCGTTTTGCCGTGTCTGGGGGGTCCTGGCCAGCTTCTCTCCTTGATGCTGTGTTTGTGGAATCCTTTGTGTTCCCCTGGTGTCTGTGACTGCTTCCGCCAGACCACCCGGTGCTGATAACTGGGGCTTTGCAGGAAGGATGGCGACCACAGTCGCAGTGGGCAGTGCCCCTCCCCCTGGACCTGATAAGTTAATTCCAACATGTGTTTGGAAACCTAAAGGAGTTAGAATTGCCAAACTAATTTTGTAAAAGAACAACCAAGACTCACTGTGTCTGATTTCCGCCCCGTTGTCCAGAATCTTCAAGACTCGATGTTGACCGGAGGCGTTTCCACTGTGGGAGGCTGAGGGGAGGGAGCCACAGAACTTAGAGGCACTCACCTCACATTCCTCCAGCCACACCACTGACTGCAAGTCTCTTCAATGGTCCATGCTGCAGTGTGGGGGCCAGCACCCTGCTGACCGCCCGTGAGACTCCGGCAGGAATGGTGCTTCCTCTCTAGGGCTGTTGTGAGGGAGGAGGACGGCGGGCAGTGGAGCCCAGGAAAGGCCTGCCCCCCCTTGTTTCCCTTCTCCCGTGGTTACGACACGGAGTCTCACGCGTGGGCTCTCAGTGGTCGTGGTTCTGTGGGTGTGTTAGGAAACAGCAGTCAAATGGGCTTCGGTCAGAAGGGTTGTTTCCTGACGCGTTTCTCTGCCTGTCGTCCACTTGGTGAGGTCTTCGGAGCCGGCTGTGGCTGCGTGCCTCGGTCCCCGATGTCTGTCCCGCGGGTGACTGACTGTGCCGTCTGGCCTTCTGCAGAGAATGCCAGCACCAAGCCAAGTCCCTCGACAGCGAGCTGGAGGCCTACAGGAAGTCCATCATGAAGGAGGAAGAAAAGAACGAGAAGCTGGCCAGCGTCCTGAACCGGACAGAGACGGAGGCCAGCCTGCTGCAGAAGCTGACCACACAGTGCCTGGCTAAGCACGAGGTTCTGCAGAACGAGTTCAACACCTACAGGCTCACCCTGCAGAACACAGAGGACGCCCTGAGCAAGGGCCACCAGGTGCGTGGTGTCCCCCCTTTGCTGCAGGCGGAGGCCCCAGCCGGCCCTCACGGGTCCACCCTGCGGCACTGTCCACCCCTGGCTCTTCCTTTCCAGGAGCACGCAGCTGTTACAAGCGAGCTGCAGAGTATCCAGCAGACCACCCACCAGGAGCTGGACCTGCGGCACAGGATGGACGCCTCCATCATGGACAAGCTGCAGGAGCACATGACCTCCAACAAGATGACCAAACACTTCAAGCAGCTCCTGCTGAAGCTGCAGAAGAAGAAGACCAACATGGTAGGGCAGCACCTCCCTGAGAGTGGGTGTGGAGGCCAGGGTCTCCTGATGCCCACACATGGCACGGGAGGTGCCCACAAAGGGGCACGGAAGGGCGGCAGGGCGTGACAGAGGGGACCTCTCACCCTACCACCATGGCCCCTCTCAGAGCCTCGCCATTCCCTCCTGGAAACGTTTCTGTGCACAGACACACTCATCCTCGCACACACCAGTGCAGGCTCACACACACACACTCGCCCCCGTTCATACACATGCCCACACACGTGTACACGTACGCACACACACACGCACACACATGCACACACACGCACACACACACTCCTGCAAACACACGCGTGAACACACCCCATACACATGGCCTCTGTTTTGCTGGACGGTGACACAGGGGACGGTGACACAGGGGACAGTGCGTGGATGCTGCATGGTTGCCTCCACTGCAGCGACGGTTTCGCACAGTGCCATCCCATGCCGCTGAGTACCCTTGGCCCAGCGACTCTTCATTCCTCCTTACACTCCGCGCTTCCTTCAGGAGTGCTCTTGTTGGAAGCTTTGGGCTGCTTCTAGGCTCAACGCCACCACAGCCCCGCCTCTGCGCTCTGTGTACAGTCCTTGTCTACCCTTCTGAAGGCAATGGCCCGAGCCAGGGTCCTGGGCCCAGGGCATGAGCATTTTAGGTGGATACCACGCTGCCTGGGAGCATCACTGTCCACCACCACCCAAGGACTGGGGTGCCGTGGAGCCCCACGGCACAGGGAACCCCCAGCTGTGAGTCACTGGGGTCTCAGCGGCTGTTGGGGGTCCCTCATGCCCTTAGAGAAAAGATTCCTTATTTCAATTCTTTGCTCTCTGGCTCTTCCTATGGTGGGTCCTGGGGAGCCCCTGCCCATGCTGTGACCCTGGGAGTCCTGCCCTGGGGAGGTTCCTGTGGAGGACGCCCAGAGGCTGCTGCAGCCACCTGATCAGCAGCCCCCACCCACCCACCCCAGACACCCCAGGAGAAGGGCCGCTGGCTCTGGTTGATGGTACCCAGGAAGTGGGGAACACAGGGCTGGAACCAGGTGGCCACAGGGGCCTGGATGGGTCTCTCCTGGACAGCCCAGCTGACATGGCAGCCCCCTGGGAGCAGAGCAGGGGCCACAACCACCGGGCGGGAAAAGCAGGTGGTCCTGGGTGCTCTGGGCCCGTGAGGATCATGGTGGGTGAGAGTGAGGCAGACTGCCTGGCCCCGGGGTGGCAGCCCGGCAGATCCCAGGTCCCTGCCCTGTTCCTTCCTGGGTAGCTGCCAGGGCCAAGCATGTGCTACCACCTGTGTCCAGAAGAGGGCAGGAAAGAGCCTCAGACCAACAAATGCGTCCATTATGACAGGGGACACTGTCTGAAGGCTCCAAAGCCCAGCTCTGGGGGCAGGCAGGGCAGGACAGAGGCGAGGGCATATCTGGGAAGGTGAACAGAGGGTGGACGGACGGGATGCCGTCAAGAGTTAGGATCAGAGGGAGTGAGCAGGGGTCAAGGAGGGTGGAGGCAGTTAACTGGGGACAGTGCCGCTGTCCTGGGGGAGGACAGGGTGGTCTCCTGAGGAGCACAAGCCGCCTGAGCCTGAGCGGGGCAGGCAGAGCTTTCTGGGTGACCTGGCTGGTGACAGAGGGAGCCTGTGGGGCAGAGGCTGAAAAGGGCCCAGGAAGCGGAGCCCCTAGCAGGAGAGCAGGAAGAGAGGGGCGTGGACAGGCATTGACCCCTGCAGGGACCCTGTCTCAGGGTGGCCTTGCCAGAAGAAATGGGCATCCGGCTGCTCCACAGAGGGCCAGTGGGCCGAGCCATTCCCGCTAGACGAGAGAGGCTGGACACTCGGTGCCAGGCGGGTGGGGTCTGGGCTTTACAGTCAGAAGTGAGTGTGGGGCGTGGAGCCAGTAGGGGTCACAGAGGAGAGACCCAGGTGGCCCCCAGGAGGGCTGGAGTCGGCAGGAGCCCTGGGCCTTGAGAGGGAGGAGGACCCTGTTCTTGAGCCAACAGCCTCTGCCTGTCCCCAGGACCAGGTGGTGCTGAGCTCTCAGTGACCTTTGCAGGAAGGGAAGCCTGAATCTGACTCTTCCCGACAGAGCCCAGCAGGAGGCAGGTGGCCGTGAGGCCTGGGGCAGCGGGGAGCCTGTGCAGCCCTGGCCTGCCCGGTGGCCTGTGCTGGCCACCAGAAGCCGGCGCCCCGGGCCTGAGTGGGCCTGTGCCCCACAGAAGGATCTTTTCTGTCCAGAATCCTGTCCAGCTTTTCAGTAAAATGGAAGGACATTGGTCCCATCGAATACAAAAGAAGTTTGGTGTTTTCTGCAGCGTTATTTAGGAACATTTATAACAGGTTGCGAGCTCAAAGAGGCAGGGGTCTGGTCTTCCTCCCTGGTGTCGGCCCGCCGCCCAGAGCAGCAACACAGTGCCCCAGTAGGGACTGGTGGTCAGGAATGGCCATCTGGTGATCATGGCTGCCTCACACGCTGTCACCAAACCACGCGTGTCGTACTGGGGCTGGGACTCAGTGGTATAGCGCTCGCCTGGCGTGGGCGAGGCACTGGGTCTGATCCTCAGCACCCCATAAAAATCAATAAAATAAAGGTGTTATGTCCATCGACAACTAAAAAAAAAAATGTAAGCACATGACCTAGAATATCAGAAGTGATTTGCCAAAGGCCAGAGCGGGTTACAACCCAATAAGTGGAGTGTGGTCCTGGTTCTGTTCTGCGGGAGGAGGAGGGGCCTCATAAGATTGGAGGAGAGGAGAGCTCCCAGGTGGGCATGGCGGTGGACCTGGGTGGAATTACAGGGATGCCGCGTCCTGCCTGTGCTGCTGTGGGTCTGACCTCGCCCCTCCACGTACCTTTCTCTTAGTGAGAATTCCACACGTGGGTCCTGCGGGAAGGCCGAGTCCTCCTCCCCCACTGCCGCAGGACGGCTGCTCCTCCAGAACCCTGGGAATCATGCTCACCGAGTTCCTTTCACCAACTCAGGTGACGCATCTTTCCAAACTCGATGGCGACATTGCTCAGGCCACCCTGGACATCACCCACACCAACTGCAGGCTGGACATGCATCAGAGGGTGCTGGGCGAGCTGGACAAGGAGGTGAAGAGGGTGAACGACCTCATCACCAACAGCGAGAACGAGATCGCCCGGCGCACGATCCTCATCGAGAGGAAGCAGGGCCTCATCAACTTCTTCAACAAGCAGCTGGAGCAGATGGTCTCGGAGACGGGGGTGAGAGGCCAGGCAGGAAGGGCGGGGTGCGACTGACCAGTCCCAGCCACTCAGCTCCACCCTGCCCCCAGGAGGGAAGGGCCCGGCAGGGTGGACCTCGAACCCTGTGCCTTCTCACCTGGCACCTAGCGCAGGGCAGCCTAGTTTTGAATTTGTTAATGGCCTGAGGGCCAGACAGACAGGCGGGGGCTGGATCTGACCTGCTGGCCACTGCTGCTGAAAATGAAGTGGTCTAATGAGTGTCAGGCTGGACTGTACCCACTGCCCGGGTACTGGAACCCCAGCACCTTTCCGAGTGTTGGAGTCCCTGAGTGCCGGGTGGTGGCCGGCCAGCTCTCAGGTAACTCCTGCCCTTTGGCTCCTCCATCCCCCAAACCCGGTGGATCCCCAGGAGCCAAACCTGAGCCTTGGCGGCCCAAGCCCCCTGAATACCAGAGCCACACCCACGAGGGCTCCTTAGGGCTTAGACCTGGGGCCTCAAAACCAGCAAACTGGAGGCCCCCAGCCCTCCTGAGAGCCCCCGAGCCCCCAGAGCAGAAATCCAAGACTCTGCAGCCCACTCAAAGAGAGGCCTTCACCCAGAAGCTCGCTCCACATTTTGACGTGTGCTTTTCAGGGGGAAGAATTGGGGCCCCTGGAGCTGGAAATCAAAAGGCTGACCAAGCAGATGGACGAGCACAATGCCAGTGTCAACCAGGCCCAGGTGACCTGGCTCCGCCTGCAGCAGGAGCTGGTCAAGGTCACGCAGGAGCGGGAGGAGCAGGTGGCCGCCCTGGACATGCTCAGGAAGGACATCCGCATCATGGAGCACAAGAAGCTTCGCACCGAGAGTGAGTGGCCTGTGGCGCCCGCCCGCCCCCAGGGAAGGGAGGGCAGGGGACTGGCCGCTGACCTCACAGTCACAGGGTCAGGGCCGAGAAACTGCCTGAGGTCGAGGACCTCAGAGCTTCCTGGAGAGAGGGGCCTGTGGGACCCGACAAGGCCGGGGAGCTTGGGGACACAGCCCCTGCTCAGCCATGTGGTACCCCGTCCCCCCAGCTGGCTTAGAAAGCTGGCCTTTGGGGCTCCACCACACTACACCTGAGACCAGTGGTCTGCCAGAGGACCAGGATGGGAGGGGCCTCCTGGGCCACCACCCACCCACGTGCCACCTGCTGAGACACTCTCAGTCCCTGGTCCTGGATTGGGGAGCTAGGTGGGTCAGCCCTGCCTTGAAGTCTCTACTGGAAATGCTGCCCAGTGGTTGGGGGCTGTTCTGCCTGGCCCCTTCTCAAAGGCTCTGCTGCCTTCCTGCCCTGCCCTGCCTTGCCCTGCCCTCCCCT